TTTGTGATTTTAATTCTCCATCATAATGAACAGAGGAGAGAAAGAAATGACCATATTATTATTATTAGAGCTAATTTATAATAATTTAGTTTCTCATCCAAAAAACATCAGACGAAGAAATAATAAATATTTTAATTATGTTGTATTTTTTCTTTGAGGTGAAAATACAGATATGCTGACTCTTTAGTGCAGATAAATATAATATAATATATATAATATAATATAATATATCTAAGAACCAAAATGTTCCTTTAAGTTTTTAATTCACATTTCATAAACTCAAAGGTGTGTGCGTGTGTGTGTGAGAGATGACAGCTTTATTATATGTTTTATGTTTCTTACTCATGACCCACTGCATGATGCCTCAGACTTGGATCAGGTGTTAACATGTTTATTTTTTTAATAAACATAAATAATAGAAAAGAGACAGACTGATATGAGTGTGTATAACCCGTGACGATGACGATGATGACGAGAGTCCTACATAGTTAACCATTGAGCTGACTTCAGATCAGCTTCCTCTCACCGGGTTGAATCCAGGACTTCCTCTGAGCCGCTGGTTCTTCTGCTGGAAGCACCTGAACACAGTGTAGACCAGGGGTGTCAAACTCATTTTCACTCCGGGCCACATCAGCATCACGGTCGTACTCAAAGGGCCGGTTGTAACTGTAAGACTGTATAACTGTAACTTCTCCTAACATATTGTTAAATAACTGTCTCTGCTTTTGATTATTGTTTATTCAAGTGTAAAAATATTGTACATGCAGTTATATAAATGTAAACATATATTTAAGCAAATTTCTGTTATTATAACATAAATCATTTTAATTTAGGGTTAAGAAACCCACATTACTCTATCAAAGATCAAACTTTTAAAGAAAATAACAAAGACAAATATCAAACACAAGTTATTACATTAACTTTGTTCAAAGCTAATTTTGTCACCTCTCTGCATCACTAATGTCCCTGCCGTCGTCCCGTGCATGGCAGCTACATCCAAGAGCTCCTCACTGAGAGTCAGGTCTTATAAACATGGATAGATGCTCTGTATCCGTGTTGTCTGTGCTTTCATCAACAGCTAATGAAGAAGACGAGTACCTGCTCGTCTCTGAGCTAGCTGTGTTGTTAGATTGCTGCTAGTTCCTGAACTCGGTGTTTCTTCACTGACATTTGTAAAAGTCTGTATCTGGTCGGAGCTCACCTGCTCACATACCTTTAGCATGCACTGGGCTGTAGCTTTTGTAAATATATTCTGCTGTGATTGCAGTCTGCCTTTTAATTCTTGGACAATTTGATGTTTTTCTTGGAGGCTAAATTTAGCTCCGTGTTTGGTGTCAAAATGCCGACGTGAATTGTATCCTTCATCACCGACACGCATCATAACACTGAAGACAGACCCATTTTTCTCCTCGAAGCACAAACATGTATTCGCTTTCCCATCTTAAATTACATTTTCTTCCCTCTGCATCAATTTTTCTCTTCGTGGACATTTTTGGGATTATTTGTCGATCTTTTTCAACTCAATCACTTGTTGGAAAACCTCTTTACGGGCTGTTGCCTCTCCTGTCCACCTGTTTTTTAAAAAAAAAAGGTAATAACTAATTAACCATATTGTTACCAAGTGACTGTTAGGAGAACAAGTAATCAATGTCCAGCCACGGTGATAATACTTCACAACATGCTAGCTCATAATTTCGACCATGGGGATATTTTTATTTTCAAGTCTAACTTTAAATTTTTTTTCCAAAATTAAAAAAAAAAAAAAAAAACTTTTTATTTTTTATTTATTTTTTGCTGGTGGATTCGCGGGCCACATAAAATGACGTGGCGGGCCGGATTCGGCCCGCGGGCCTTGAGTTTGACAAGTGTGGTGTAGAACAACATCTGGTCTCCGGTCTGTCGCGCAGCGTCCCGGAACTTCCTGGATGACACGTTGCCATGGCCACCTGTAACCAGGGCAGGGTTAAGCAATCATCCAAACAGACTAATCAGAAATCACAATTAGTGGAGTAACTGCAGCTGAATTCATCTCTCTTCTGTCTTTGTGACGTAAAGTTCAACTCCATTAGCGCTGACTCAGCTAGAGTCCTGGAAGAAAACGTGAATGATTTTAGTTGAATTCAGCCTCTTGTGGACAAAACGAGTATTACAACTATGAGCAAATTATCCAGACCAACAACAAACAGAATAACCTGCTTAGAGTTTTTGCTTCCGTATGAATTAGTTCAGTTAAAATAATAAAGAGATTATATTAAACATCAACGTACCGACGCTGCGGATGAATCTCAGCGCTCCCAGAACTTGTTGCTTCGACAGAAGAACTTCCACGATCTCATCGTTGGCCGTAGAGAGATGCCTGTCGATTTCTGACCTGTCGCCTCTGCAAATTGCGCAACTGTAAAGCTAGCAGCCTCGTGGGGAGGGGAGGGGGAGCTGCGCTCATGTGATAGGTTGAAAATGAGAATGTTGGAAAAAACGCATTTGCGAATTCAGCCACGTCAGAGGAGTCTCATAAAACCCACACAAATGTGGAGCGATCCACAAAGAAATGCAGTGCGATCCACAAATACATACAAATCCACAAACAAATAGAAAAATCCACACAGAAATACATACAAATGCAGAAATATATTTGTGATTTATTTTTTACATTTATATAAATCGTAATTTATTTATGTGTGCATTGGAATGTATTTGTAAATCCTTCTGTGTGCATTTGCAATTATTGAGACTGATCTGACCCCATACAAGGGAGACAAGACGAGTGGTAAAAGTAATAAATATACATTTATTTAAAGAATATACATCAAACTGAACTACCAAACAAAACAAATAAGCAGCTGTGTCATCCAAACAAGAGGCAGAGAGGAGGGCCAGCCAAAGAAGAGGGGCAGCCTTTACAGCTGGGACCAAACCATGCTCAGGCGTCACTCACCAGTGACCGATTAACATCCTGAAAGACAAACAGACAACAGGACACAGACCCCGAGTGGAGGGGAAGTCGTCACACATGGTACAACTAATGAGGACTCTATTCAGTAGTGATTCATTATCATATGTGAAAATGATGTTCACTTGTGTGCCATGGTGGCCATTATACATTGTGCCATAACCAAATGATGTATTTTGCATCATATATCCTGAACCAAACATGACACAGAAAAAGGAACGTCCACCGCGATGGTTTGGTGGTCAAGGATTATACAAAATAAGAAGTGATTACTTTTTAAACAGTGAATAGTTAAAAGGGAATTCAGTGACATTGTGAGAAGCAAATCACAGTATCTGAGTACTTAGGCTGGACTATGTGACTTTTAGAGCCCGAAGCGTGTGTTCCTTAACCCTGACAATACAGTGACTGCAAAGAGTCGACAAATATTCAATATGATCACAATAACATAGCTTGAAAATAAGAAAGAAGAAGATGTTGATTTGGCTGGTGTGAAATGTGAAACTGTAGAGATTGTGAAGTTCGGCCTATGGTGGTCAGGGGTTACAGTGGGATTAAGCAGCTTGCTAATTGAAAGCGTTTTCAGAGAGGCTTTGACTTCCGATATGCTTTCATTTTATTAAATGTATCAATCCACACAGACTCCACGAGATGCGTGTCTCGCTTAGACCAGGGTACCAAATCCAACGGAGTGATTTATCAAGGCTTCCTGTTGTCTGTCAGCTTGTGTTTCTCACTACAGATTCACCCCCCGGTGGGCACCGCTCACATCTCACATAGGTCTTGCTTCCAATTGGGGATTCCCAGAAGGGTGTTGTGGTGCATCAGGGAAAACGACTGTGGGGTGATATTACTTTCTGATTTGTCGAGGATCTCGATGGCATCAGCTGGGAGGGACGCCAGGCTGCAGAACACCACAAATGAACTCGCTTGACATTACGTATGAAACTGCCAATCAGATAATTATTTCTTGTCGATATCAAATTGCCAGAACACTGTTCCAGATTGTTCTAACCCACTTCAGCTCCTGCCTATGATAAAACATGAAGTGCTCTAATCCAGCGCCTGATTGAGACCTCAACACACTACCAGCCTGTAAACATTCATAGAGTGCTACATCAGGATGGAGAGTTTCCTCAAGGACAAGATATATATACAGACTGACTTTTGAAAAATGGTGATAGATTCTTTAACTATAGTGCATTATATATATATATATATATATATATATATATATGCTGGGCAAGTTAACGCGTTATCGCATTAACGCGTTCATTAATTAACGCCGACAATTATTTTATCGCGCATGAACGCATTTTTAAAATTTATTATTATTAATTGTTTTTTATTGAAATACAAGAGACAATACATAGACATAACAACAAGAGGATGACAAGAACAGTGGGATAAAATGCCAGCAAACATCCTATCGTCAGTTGTGACTATAGGACTATAGGGACAGTTGTGTGATTGTAACAGACTCTCATGTTTATCGTTTTGTATTGGAGATATGATGTCCCTTCAGGGTTGCCGTAGAGAAAAGGCGACTTCCGCTTCTGGTCGAGGGAGGGCAGAAATAAAGAGAGAAGCTGCACCAGCTGTTGCTCTCCCTGGAGACTACTGGACATCGCTGCGGTAAAGTCAGCAGACACTCAGATCTCCGTGGTCAACTCAGCAGACACTTACATTTTAGTGCACCTATATGCTGAAATTCACGGTAAACGCATTTAAACGGCACAGATCGGGAGCGAGCGAAGGACTTTGAAAGTTAGCGGAAACATTAACGTGCAACAACATCCGGTTTATTCAGACGAACATCCGGTTTTCAGAATAAGATGCCAACAAAGTATGAATTATATTCACATTAAGTATAAAACATGCTACCTGCATCTCGTGAACCAAATGTTATTGCACTTTTGTTCATATAGCAATACTTTTAAAATAAAAGTGCGCAATACACTACTTTTGAATTCATTATTGAACTTTGCCATAACAATGCGATTAATCGCAAAAAAATCCATTCGATTAATCGCGATTAAATATTTTAATCGTTGCCCAGCACCAATATATATATATATATATGTATATAATGCTTTCATCAGTCTATATTATCTTTATACATAGTCTACCTCATTAGAGCTGCTAAAACCAACATAAGCAGCTCTGAGGTTTATACTTGCAATGCAATGTTTGCAGACTATCTTACATGTTAACAGTTTAGTGTTTTTTTTTAAATGTTGTACACTGAGATTTCAAATATGTCTTGGTAAAGATCTTACTTGAATGTAATGTATTATTAAATAAGAGGCTGCTCGCTTTCCTTTGAACCTTTGAAGCTCTGCATGTGTTCCTTTTGGTTTATAATTGTTCTCCTCAAAGACATGAACGCTGCTACTCAACAGTTTCACATCAACGACAGATCAAATGACTGTGTGATGTAAAGAGTCGATTGTAGACTATCATAGGATTATAGTACTTAGAACTGCAATTATCAGGACTTACCAGATTTGTTTTTTAAATGTAATTTCAGTGTCCAGGTATTTTTACTCTCCTCTTTGTTTCATTTTCTTTTTACAAATAAGCACATAAAACCAGACTGACAACAGGTTTAAAAAAAAAAAGTTTATCATGTCAGTACCCATGAGGTTTCACAATACAAAGGCATGAAAAAAGTAACATTAAAATAGGTATGGCATCCTCCAAAAGCTCATTTTCCATTCATAAATGCTTCTTGCGATATCGGTTCACTGCAGTTTCTTACAACAGAATCACAGAGATATTTTTCTAAAAAGCTAGAAATCATTTTTTTAAAACTCCATGAGCGTGATGTGACACAAAAAAATAACAATCAGCAGACATTCTGTGGTTGTGAGAAGTATTAGTATCATATGTTGCACAACATCGAAGGCCAAAAGGTCTCTGGTGAGGAGACGGTCCTGCTGTGACCTTTGAAACGTGCCGAGGCCTTCCTCGCGGTGAGATGGGCGACACGATGATTCCACTGCCCCTGGGTTCCTGTTCCGAGACAAGATAAATGATTCTTAGTTCAAATCAAAGCAGCGTTGGTTTTAGTGTAAAATCAGGAGCGACTCTGACCAAACATTTCATGACCTCAGTCAGAGATATTAATCAAAGGCTGAGCACCTTTGTTGTTGTTAATGCTTTGAGTCGATTGTCCACTGGCCACTACCTACTCTGACCAGAAAGGAAAAGTTCACACATTTTGGGAAATAACCGTTTTCACTTTCCTGCTTATAATTAGATGAGGATCTATACGGCATCAGAGTTCAGCATTAAAACTGGAAACAACAGTGACCTGGCTCTGTTCAAAGGTAACAACATCATCATACCAGCACCTCGAAAGCTGAATAATTACCAGGTAATATCTTGTATCTTCTTCCATTATTGCAGGACAGTTGACACACAAAACATATCCCAAAATGTTGTTATTTACAGCAGCAGTAACATTGACACCAACAGCTCATGTGATGATAAGTCAAGCTTACTGTTCTACATCTGTTAAATTACACTCAACACTGACATTGCAACAATAAGGCAAACTAGGAAATGAAATGTTGAGGGATAACAAGTTGTGTTTAGGAAGGCTGATGGGACGCATTATACAACATTTTCAATTATCCACCACTTTTTGTAAAATTGCCAATGTTTGAACTCTAAATAGTTGATTTCTCGCTTCTGAATTCATAAGAAGTGAGTTTAATGGAAATTTGAAAAATAAAAACTACCGTTCTTCAGATGGGGTAGCCTCTCTTCCAACTACGGGGACAAAAACGTGAGCTACCATGGCTGAGTCACTCATACTGATACTAGTATCTAGCTATACTAGTGGGCTAGATAAGTTAGCATCATAGCTAGGCTAGCATTTAGCAGCAAGTAGCCTAACAGAGGCAGAGTAAGGCCGGGTAAGTCTACGGGAACCCACATGCTCAGGACGGATCGAGCAGCTGGAACATATCGGGCACCCTGCAGCGGCGCTTTTATTTAGCAAGACCCACCCTGTTCACTATTCACTAGTGCTAGGATTACACTAGGAGATGCACTGTCAATAAGGATCAGTCTTATTTTGATGCAGAATTTGTACATAAGCAGGAACGTATCACACCACGGAAGTGTATTTAAAGTAACTGCAAGGAACTATCATTTAGTGTTGATTTTGGCAGCCCCTGTGGAGGAAGGCAGTAGTGTTTCTGAGCCCCTGACTCCCTTTAGAAAACCTCTCATTTGACTGAAACAGTCTGCTACGCACAGTCTTGGTTCTGGTTCTCCTGTGCATCCCTTCCCTCCAGTGGGCCCAGCAATATGGCCAGGATCTCCAGCAGTGTGGTGTCGCTGTTGGTTCTTAATCTACACAGTAACAAGCGCAGATAAATGCAGTGCAGGAGCTGTACCTGTGTGTTGAGGTGACGGCATTCTCGCTGCTTCTAACTGGGGTTGGGTCTCTCTGCAGACTTCTGAATCTGTATGGAGGAACCAAGGGCAGACAACATACAGACACAAGTTACAATGTGTGCTCTCTGGATGACAGGCAGCATTGTGACAAAGAAAGGACATACGCTACTTGTCAGTCATTTATTGCATTTCCAACCTCATTCAATGAACAAAGAGGCCGATTGCGCTGATACAAAGGCATTATCAGCAAATAGATGGTAGATGCAGGTTCCCCCGACTACCAGCAGAGGGCATAAGGGTTCTTCAGCCAACATCAGCCATTTCAACCAAGAAACAACAAGGCAACACGAAGAGACTAACAAACAATGAACCACTTAAGACCAAAACATGATGACAACCATGAAACAGAGACCAGAAAACAACAAGCTGCATTATATGGCAAGAAACTAAAGCCAAAAACAAGAGATGTGTAAATGTGAGCAAATGGAAATCTGTATGGAGATCTTCAACTGAGTGGCAGATGGTTTAACTCAAATTAGACAATAAAAAAATGGCTGAATTTGAAAAAAAAAGAAGAAAAAGCTCAACAACAGGCAGAAATGTTACTGTACCTGTGATTGTTCTTTTAGGAAATCTGGTAGCTGAAATTCACCTTTAAAGACCTGGAAAAACAAAGGACCAGGTTTAGAGCTCCACAGATTCATTGAATCTGCATGAATTCATCATCTGGATCACCAGGGCGAAGATTTACTGGATTCCTTTACTTTAGTAAAAATGACTTGTATAGCCCTCAGGAGTAGCAGCTTCATGAACTTCTTTAATGATCAAATTCTAATGATTAGAGACAACATTATTCCCCTCAACTGGTACCCAATTACTCTCAAGTACAGGAACCGTAGAAACCGCTGTAAAACCTGATATATATTTAGATTTCCTTTCTCCCATCAACGTTCACAACAGCTTTTACGTCTAAGCCATCCACCTGTCTCTTAAACCCCATCCCCACCAGGCTGCTCATAGAAGTCTTACCTTAGTTAGCACCTCTTTACTAATCAACCTAGTGGTACATGGTACAGGCCCTGTACCACCGTCCTTCAAAGTAGCTGTAGTTAAACCTCTTCTTAAGAAGCCCACTCTTGATCCAGAGGTGTGGACTAACTATAGACCGATCTCTAACCTTCCCTTCCGCTCTAAGATCTTTGAGAAACCAGTCGCAAATCAGCTGTGTGACTTTCTACATAACAATAGTTTATTTGAGGATTTTCAGTCAGGATTTAGAAAGCATCATAGCACAGAGACCATACTGGTGAAAACGACTAATGACCTTCTGATTGCATCAGACAAAGGACTAGTCTCTGTTCTTGTCTTAGTGCTGCATTCGACACCATGGACCACCACATCCTATACCTCTTGAGCCCGAGCGCCCCCGTTTTCGGGGGCTGTGGAGAAAGCTTAGCGTATACCAACGAAAAAATGCACTTATCAGCAACGAATATAAAGATGTTATACACATGTTATATACCTGATTAAACAGCAAAGCCTGGGCTACAAGATCACGTAAGCCGTTTTTACATGCTCCAAACACAACTAAACAACCAACTATAAGAATGGCCAAATATCAAAATCCGTATAGCGCCACCTAGGCAACCCACTCGCCACACTTCTGGCTCTACCGCTGTGGTATTTTATGCAATACGCACACACGATACCTCAAAAGAAAGCAGACAGTCCACAGATGCCGCACATTTCAAAGAAATCCAGCTACAAGCATCAGCGAGATATGAGCAAAGAACACCAACAACATAAATCACATTATCGTTTGTGATCCACAAAATTCAATTTGTGCTATGTCCCATCTTAATTTACTCTTAACCAGTAAAATATAATATTGATATTTACACATCGGAACACATCTCACAAGTGTTCCCTTTATTATAACACCAAAACTATTCAAATACACCTTGTGGTTGCAGAGATACACTCTTTAATACTTTTTAATATGGGTATGCAATTTTCGAGCAGAGGCCTAAAAAATAGGGTTAGAGTTCAAGAGGCTTTAAACTGGAACATTTAATTGGCATCAGAGGAACCGCACTAAACTGGTTTGAGTCCTGTTTATCAGATCGATCCCAGTCTGTAAACGATGAATCCTCCGTGAACACCAACGTTAGTTCCAGAGTTCTTCAAGTTCTGTGCTGGACCGATTCTATTCACCTTATACAGTATATGCTTCGATTAGGTAATATTATCAGAAAACATTCCATAAACTTTCATTGTTATCAGAATCAGATGATACCCAATTATATCTGTCAATCAAGCCAGACGAAACCAACCAGTTAGCCAGCCTTAAGGACCTAAAAACCTAGATGACCCGCAACTTCCTGATGTTAAACTCAGACAAAACTGAAGTTATTACTTAGACCTGAAAACCTCAGCAATAAATGATCTAATGATTACTCAAGTATTGCCCCCTTGTCATCCAGCACCACCGTAAAGAATCTCAAAGTCATCTATGATTGGGGTATGTCCTTAACTCTCACATAAAACAAACTTTAAGGACTGTCTTCACCTACTTAACATTGCAAAAATCAGGCACATCCAATGCGATGCAGAATGAGTCAGTGCATTTTTTACCTCTAGACTAGATATCTGCAATTCCAGTTTGTCAGTCTGCTCTAAGAAGTTGCTTAAGTCTCTCCAGTTGATCCAGAATGCTGCAGCACGTGTACTGAACACAAACTAAGAAAAGAGATCGTACTACTCCGGTATTCAAGTCTCTGCATTGGCTCCCCGTAAAATCTACAATAGAGAATCCTTCTACTCACCTACAAAGCCTAATTGGTCAGGCACCATTTAGGGCTGACCACTGAGCTCATATTACCCTATCACCTTACTGTCCTCCCAGAATGCAGTTGTGGTTTCTACAGTCTTCAAAAGTCAAATGGGAGCCAGAGCCTTCAGCTACGAAACTCCTCACCTGTGGAAACCAGTTCCAGTCTGGGGGGCATCTGCCTATAGTCATAGTCATATGGAAGGACCATGATGTAATTCTATTATGTCGTCCATAGACATGACATCTAATGCACTTATGACCATCCTGAAAGAGGGATCCCTCCTCCGTTGTGCTCCCTGATGTTTCTTTATTTATTTTCTCCCCGTAGCAGGCTTTTTTGGGGGGAGCGTTTACTTTTCTGATGCAAGGTGTCATATGCTGTACAGATTATATAGCCCTTTCTTTGTGATATTGGGCTGGACGCATACCAGGAATTTCAGGCTCTGCTCCTGGTGCCATATAGTTTCCCCTTGGGGGGCTGAATGGGACCAGAGAAAGAGGTGAAAATAGACACATAGGGAAAAGGGCAGATGGGAGGATGTGAGGCACTCAGGCTTTCCCTGTCTTTTTGGCCTCAGCCACACAGTAAACACACAAATGGACTACTCCAGGATCCTTCAGGATTATCACCAAGGTACGTCTTATTTCCAAGACTTACAATATCTACACAGGAAGTCACGTCTTTCATGTTGAATGAAAACACTGTAGCAGCACAAGGTCGGTCTGTTAGCCTGGGATAAGGAAGAATGTGGAGGAAAAGTAGGATATGGGTAACAAGATTGTGCTGATGGATCGAGGCTACATTTAACAGATAAAGACATGAAACAAGAGAAGACAGCGGCATTATTGTGTTGTGTTACACAATAGGGAGGCAGCATTGAGACAGAGGCTGCTAACTCGATTGAGCTTTTCTTCTATAGTTCCATGTTGGAAACTACTGTAAATGTCATCATATATAATTTGATGAAGTTGTTTGCAATGTTTTCCTTTCATTCCAGTATGCTATGTAGTGTAATAATGAAGTACAGTGTGGTTACAAAGTGCTGTACACAGTGTTGTAATGTGTAAATCATTTGTTGTCTTTATCTTCTTACAATCTGAATTGTTTTACTTCCACGGTAAACCTATACTTTCATTATACAACATATTTGGCAATAGTGTACTTATTTGACCATTTGCTAAACCACTTCCCTAACAGAGGCTGTGCAATCATCCCTTAGTAACTCTAATAAGGCAAGGCAGGCCTGTCAAGCTTTGGATTTCTCCTCTGTCTATAGAAACGGACTTAGTTTTGCATGCTGAATGTTGTGTTAAGTTTTTGGTTTCTCAATAGGATTGGGTAACACTGAAATCCACCTAGTGACGATATTGCTTTAAGGAAACAACAATATACGGTGATGAAACAAAGTTAAAGAGAGAGAAGCCAATAGATCTATGGACTGGAGACGGATATGTTGCAATACCCATAAGTGACCACAATGTATAGGCAGTAAGCGCTATTTTATCCACGGGCATTTTGAAATTAAAAATCAGATCAATCAACTGGTAGTAACTGAACCTCTTCCGGTCTTGCAAGTGTTATATTTTGTTGCCTTTGCAAAAGCTCTAATGATTGAGGGTTTATTGCTCAGCGTGACATGAATGTCTGTCCGGCTGCTCTCTGTGGCATGCCGGCATCTTATGTTGGATGGTGAGTTTCAGGATGGGAGCAGAGATTTGTGGTGTGTCCGTCTTTAGTCACGACTTTTTTTTTTTTTTTGTTGTTTTTTTTTAAATTGTTTTAATTTCTTTTTTTTTTTAAATCGAACAGCTTACAAATCCCTTCATTCACATTCTCTGGTTCTCCTTTTTAGTTTGGTTTAAAACCAAAGAATCGCCAAATAGGTGCGTTGCATTCTTTTTTGCTAACAAGAGCGGACTACTTTCGATGCCTTATCAAGTTTTTTTCTTCCATGTTTTCCAGCGATGGCAGACTTCTTGGAGCGTGCAAACACTGCCTTCCCTCTTTAAGCACCTTCTTGAAAAGGTTGGAAAGGTTGCAATATTTAGATATCAACAGGTCTTTGGATAAAACCTGTTGATATTATATTCAACTCCTCCATAATGCTTAAAAGTAGGTGTGTTTCTCTTTCCGACCAGGAATGTGGGCTTTTCTTTTGGGCATCTCTACTGCAGCTTTGCAAACTGCTGGCTAGTTGGTTTGTGTACAAAGACACAGAGCTGGTCGTAAAAAAGTGTGCAGTAAAGTGCCGTTTAAACCACTTGAGACGCATATTCCAAATGCGCTGTGAACATGTTAAAAGACTGGTCCTAAAACCAGAATAATAGCCATATCCCACATGTCTTAGTCGGAAAATGCTCCATTCAGAATAAGGCCTAATTTATAATATCCAAACAGAATATGATGATTACATGAGATATGTTAAATTTGGAATATTGTCATATTCGGAGTAATAGTGGAATATGAGTGTGCATGTAGTCAATGATGGACGTGGCAGCATCATCACTAACCTCAAATGCACCCTCAATGACAACCACAGCCAAACACAGGATTTAAGCAGAACACAAGGGCAAAGATCAATTAAACCTATAGAAAAATAATCTCATAAAGTTGCACAATCAAGCCTTTAATGTTTCATTTTCATCCTTTTGACAAACAATAGAGCCACGAGACAAAACACATGAAGTACTGAGTTCAATTCAATCAGATAATCAATGAAAATATATCATTTGAATCTTTGCTGGACCTCTACAGTGTGGGAGAAGTGGGTACAAAGTCCTGAGCCCCTTTTCCGGGCTGAAGAGATTTAAACTTCCCTAAAACACAAC